CAAAATATTCAGTTTCCGTGCTGTAGGGCAAGCGCAACTAGGTAGGCAAGAGTCTGCAGGTGTGCCGAACGTGAAGGACGCATCTTTTTCCTTAAAACCAATAATGAATCGAGGTGATAAGCATCATAACGATGATCTTAAAATATTGTGCCAAAATCCATAATGTTGGTGACAAATGGAGCCAAGGCATTTAATTAAATGTGAATCAGTACGTGCATGAAAAGTATTGATGTTACCTGTGTGGTTCTTGTTTTTTTAATTCATGGTTATTTATATTCATGACCATTCGCCATGCATAATTGGAATTATTTCCACGGATTCAATGAGTAAACATCATTAATTTCGTTGCATTTTCCAGCAAAAAAAAAACCTCTCAAATCTGCATCAACGGTAGATAGAGAACATGAAACAAAGGACCCGTGAGAATCGAAGGACGGAGTAGTCTTTTGTGGAAACCGTCAATCAAGTTTCCTTTTGAGTGTTTTACTTTTGTGAAAGTGTTCTAGAATATTTATAAAGATTAAATCTAAAGTATTTAAGAGTGGGGAATAGAATGGATGAGACAACACCGAGGCGCTCTTCCGATTGATTCACGTTAAGAGAGTCTGATAGGAAGAACTAAAAATATGAGCCTTGTGAAGCTCTTTATGTAAGACTGAAATATAAAGGCACGATAAATAAGAGATAGAACATTTTTCAGGAGAGTAATAAGAAAACTTACTTTCCTGATGGGTGAGGAGGAGACGCTCCTCGGTATGCGCCAGAAGCGAGTCCACCTCGCAGGATTTTATGGGTAGAGAGAGAGGTCGGTGCAGATGCTTCTCATATCCTGCCACCAAATCCGCAACGCAGGGCTGCGTATCAATCATCTCCGGCTCCACTTCAGCATTCTCTAGTTGGCGCTTCAGCCGATGATTCTCGGACTCCAGCACTGAAATTCGATCCAACAGCCTTTGAGTTTCGTTGTACCAACTCTGCTGCATTTGGTCCAGGTCCTGGAATAGCAAAGATCATAAAGCTTTGGGATTAAATGAGGACAATTATGCGATCTTCCTTGTTAGAAATAAACTGATAAATGGGCACTACAATGATACGTTATAACACGTCACATGGTAGTCAATCATGCAACTTGCCAAAGCGAAATCCTGAAAGTCGTGTTCATTGCGCTCACTCTTTAGCGCATCATGCTGTTCTTGGAGTTCACCAATTAACCGTTCTGTATCAGTATAATGGCTGACACAGAATTCAAGCTCCTCCAGAACGCGTATAACCTTATACATAAGACACTCGAAATCCGCCGCTCCATATTCATCGATCAAAAGCTGTAGCTCTTGACCGATTAGAGAAGCAGCTGAATAGACATCGGTTGTTGTGCAGATACTCATTAGGCAGTCGGTCTCTAGACCTTAAAAAGTGAAAAGTTTTGAAGTAATAACGAATTTTTCGTCAGATAAGGCTTCAAATATTTTGTAACGATAAAAAAATGCGCTTTACGATAAATCCACCTAAGAACAAACAATAAAGCTATTGTACCCAAAACCATAGGATGCTAGAGAGTCACAGAAATCTACCAGGCAACACAT